GGGTTTCTAGAGGAGTTTTTTAGCTGTAAAAATGTTCTAACGGGGGGTAAAAAAAATGCTAAAAACTGCAAATGCGCAAAAATGCAGCAAAGCTAAACGCTAATGCAAAAATGCTAAAAAATGCTGAAAAACTTGCGTTTTAACGTGACTTTACACAGCTAACGCTACCAGCGTTATTAACATGCCCAGTGTGCATGGAGCCTAAAAGAAAAAAAGCATGAATGGCAGCTGCTGGCTGCTGCTAGAATTGAATACCAAATCTTAGAATTGTTTTTCAAATAATATGACATTTAGTGTAATATATATATACACACTTTTAAATCAGAGTATAGCATCAGTAAATATAGTCAATTCAACTCCTGGGATATTGATCTGGTAAGTTAAATAGCAGAGGGGGTTGTTAATTTCATTTTCAAAGCTGCTTTGATGTTAATGAAATTAACAACAGGTGCACTAGATGGGCAATAATGAGACAACCCCCAAATCAGGAATGGTTTTAAAGGGGGAAGGCCACTGACATTTTTTTCCCTACTCATCTTTTTTGACTGTTTTTCACTAGTTTTGCATTTGGCTAGGGTCAGTGTCACTACTGGTAGCATGAGGTGATACCTAGACTCTGCAGAGTTTGCACAGGCAGTCCAACTCCTCCAGGATGGTACATCAATACGCGCCATTGCCAAAAGGTTTGCTGTGTCTCCCAGCACAGTCTCAAGAGCATGGAGGAAATTCCAGGAGATGGGCAGTTACTCTAAGAGAACTGGACAGGGCCGTAGAAGGTCCTTAACCCATCAGCAGCATCACTATCTACTCCTTTGTGCAAGGAGGAACAGGATGAGCAATGCCAGAGCCCTACTAAATTACCTCCAGCAGGCAACTGGTGTGAATGTTTCTGACCAAACAATCAAAAACAGACTTCATGAGGGTGGTTTGAGGGCCCGACGTCCTCTAGTGGGCCCTGTGCTCACTGCCCGGCACCATAGAGCTTCATTGGCATTGCCATTGAGAACATAATTGGCAGGTCCGCCACTGGTGCCCTGTGCTTTTCACAAATGAGAGCAGGTTCACCCTGAGCATATGTGACAGACATGAAAGGGTCTGGAGAGCCGTGGAGAACTTTATGCTGCCTGTAACATCATTCAGCATGACCATTTTGGTGGTGGGTCAGTGAATATCTGCATATCCATGGAGGGACGCACAGACCTCTACAGGCTAGACAATGGCACCCTGACTGCCATTAGGTATCAGGATGAAATCCTTAGACCCATTGTCAGACCCTACACTGGTGCAGTGGGTCCTGGGTTCCTCCTGGTGCATGACAATGCCCGGCCTCTTCTGGTGAGAGTATGCAGGCAGTTCCTGGAGGATGAAGGAATTTATACCACTGAATGCCCACCCACGCTCGCCTGCCCTAAATCCAATAGAGAACACCTCTGGGATATCATGTTTCGGTCCATCCGACACCACCAGGTTGCACCTCAGACTGTCCAGGAGCTCAGTGATGCCCTGATCCAGATCTGGGTGGAAATACCCCAGGACACCACCCACTAGGAGGAGCGTGCCCCAATGTTGTCAGGCATGCATACAATGTTTTTCATTTCCATCAAACGATGGGGCTTCCTTACGTTCCTAACAAATTTCCCAGTCCACATCAGTATAGATATCCAGTATGATATTTTTCCCCATTGAGATCTGATGTGGTTTCAAAGTGTTTCTTTAATTTTTTGAGCAGTGTATATTGTATATACCAACTCAAAGTATTTATTATTTTGTTTTGCAAAAAAACACAGCTACATATGCATTCAGAAAAGGGCATCATTTTTATAACAAGCTGTGTTTTCTAATGGGTAGCTTCAGATAAAAGGAGATAAAGAAGCAATTTGTCTGAAATCACATAGATGCTACAGGTACATCCATTGACGTCAAAAGGAAAGCCATAAATTTCACAGAAAGTCCCTTGGGCTGCTGAGAGATTTGAAATAAGGTTTAAAGGTGTTTTGAAATTTCCCATTATCCATTTTCTTGGTAAACCCCTGGTCAGTAAATTCACTTTTTTGTGAGTCAAAGATTTCTGCTCTAGGCAGATATTGCTTATTGTTTAAAGTAAATAACAAGGAAGGAAAAAAGTTTAAAAAATTGATTATTTGCTTGTCTCTAGCACGTTACATCAGTGTTATTCCTGCCATTGATGACCACATAGTAAAAATTCAAACAGTATCAAGGAAAAAGGAAAGGGTGGCCATATACTTTTGAATGCTGCTAACTTATTGGCATAAAAACAACCATGTATATATGTATGCGTATGGAATTGGAAGGGGAGATCAATGGTAAGCGTTAAATTAGGTATCACAGCCTATCTGTTTTTTTTAGCTAGTACACTCAGGCAGCATCACATTTATGGTAACTGTACAGGGCAATTATCACTGTGACCACCTTTAAACAAAGCATTGAAACCTTGCCATAGCTTTAGATTGTTATTCCTTCATGAATTGCTTACAGCAGCATCGTTCTCTGGTTTAAATTTCTATGTAGCTCCACTGTTAGTAGAAGTGTCTCACTTTTGCAGTCCCATTTGAGCATTTGTCAAGATTGGGCATTTGTCCATCTATAGTTAAATAATGTATGAGTTGATTTTTATGTCTCTTTTTATTAACAAGGGTTTTATGTCTTAGGCTCCAACATGAAAACTGTAATACCCTAGAACCTTCACTTTGCAGGTGTTAGTAAATAAAATAAAATGGTGTTAACTTTGAATCATGTGCAAGAAAAATGTGAAAGTAAACAGTCTCTACGGCTTAGCATATCAACTCTAGTCTGTTCTATACTATCACAGTGATAGATACTATCACACAAATTTGTTGGGTGGAGGATACTGTCTTAAAAAAATAAATGTAATAAAAGCTTTGGCATCTAAAACAATGTGCACATTGTTTGTACCAAGAAACTTAAGCCAAAAATCTTTGCATCAAAACCATTGCAATGCTTTATTCTGTAAAGGTAAACTCCAGGAAAACAGCTAAATACACAAATGAAATACATATATGGGAGTCACTTTACCTTTTTTTATTTTTATTTCTGTTCATCCAATTAACCACTTGCCCCAAATGTATGTACCAATATGTTCTCTGGTTTAAGTGCTTCTGCAGTCATGACCCTGGTATCTTTTTTTCAGAAGGCAATGCTGATAAATGTAAACGTGATTCGAGTGGCTAAATATCCACTGAATTGCTCTTACACATGGCGGAAGGTGCCCCCCCCCCCCCATCGCCTTCTGCTGACCCCCCACCCCCCCCCCCCCCACTATCCAAGGGCCTCCCACTCTATAGAGATGATGGAGGACCGGTAGTTTGAAGGTGATCTTTATGGTCCATGAAATTGGAAGTGGTGTCAGTTTCTTACCTATAAGTCATTACCAGCTTGTGAAAGGATCTGATCAAACAGATCTTGGTTTGATCAAATGCTTTTGAGGGCAGAAGAGAGACCTGGGGTCTAAAAGACCCTGGATCTTTTAGTAAAGATTATCTCCCCCCGCTATTACAAGTGATGTTGTTCATCCTTTGTGATAGCAATAAAGTTGATAATTTTTTTTTTAAAGTGCCCCCCCCCCCCCCCCATGCTCATGAGCAAATGCAAATGCTCATATCACTCCTGCCTGCATATATAAACAGCAATTGCACAACAGATGTGAGTTATTGCCTGAAACGTAAGAGCAAAATAAATAATTCTGTGATGGAAATAATCCTATGTAACTCAAACTGGTAACCTGGTAACCCATGGATATTTTATTTTCTAGTTTGTCACTAATTCACTGGTGTGCACAAGTTTTAAGCTTTTTTTTTTCAAATTCATTAAAGTTACTTCAAACTAATTTATTCTATAATAACATGCTATACATAGAGAAATCGTAGAGAAATAAAAACGACATAATTTTAAATAGAACTTCTATGTACATGGACATAAGGACAACTAAAAAACAAACTCACTTTGACATACTACACTGGATTCTGTGTGAAAATTGAATTGAATAGCATTTAATGTAAATCTGTTTCTCTTGTGACATTTGCTGCACTGTAACACGAAAAATGTTTTCTTTGCACAGTGTATGTACTCTGTTCACATAAATAGCTGCACACTGTAGGGGAACCAGTAATGCCCATCAACACATTTCTAAGATGCCATCGCTAGTTAAAGCATTAGCCTCTCTAGGACGTGGCATGCAACCGTGCGTACTATGTTGTATTCCTAAGCAGGCTATTCCTAACCAATGAGGGCTCCTTGACAATCATCAATACAGACTTTTGAGCCAATGTTTTATTACTCATCACCCGGCTAGCTTCGTTAGACAACACAAATAAGTGAATAAGAGCAGTGTGATTTAAGAAGTGCACATTTATGAAATAACATCCGAAAGACAAATACAGGGAAGTACAAGCTAAGTGCTTGTGTGGCATTGAGGATGAATGATAATATTAAAGCTTGAATGTTAGGTATCTGTTACTCAATGTAACATCATATTTTAACCACAAGCCTACCAGGCACTTATACCCCAATTTCTAGCTTTCAGCGCTGTTGCACTTTGAATGACAATTACGCGGTCATGCAACACTGTACCCATATGACATTTTTATAATTTTTTTGTGACAGATAGAGCTTTATTTTGGTGGTATTTAATCAACTCTGGGTTTTTTTTTGTTCTTAAACAAACCAAAAACCACTGAAAAATTTGAAAAAAAAAACATTTTTTCTTAGTTTTTGTTATAAAATTTTGTTAATAAGTGATTTTTCTCCTTCACTGATGTGCACTAATGAGGCTGCAGTGACGGGCACTGATAGGCTGCACTGATGGACACTGATAGGTGGCACTAATGGGCACTGATGAGGAGGCACTGGTAGGTGGCACTGATGGGCATTGACAGGCATCACTGATGGGCACTGAAAGGCAGCACTGATACATGGCACTGATAGGCGGCACTGACTAGCACTGATAGACGGCACTGACTGGCACTATTAGGCGGCACTGACTGGCACTGATGCGCACTGATAGGCGGCACTGTCTGGCACTGATAGGTGGCACTGACTGGCACTGATAGGTGGCACTGATTGGCAGCACTGCTTGGCATTGATAGGTGGCACTGACTGGCACTGATGGGTGACACTGAAAGGCAGCTCAGATGGGCACTGATATGTGGCATTGATGTGCACTGGTAGGCACTGATATGTGGCATTGATGTGGCACTGATGGGCACTGGCACGAGGCACTGATGAGCACTGACACAAGGCACTGATGGACACTGACAGGTGGCACTGCTGGGGCTACACTGATCATCAGTGCCCTGATGATCAGTGTACATGTCCCCTCCGTAGAAAGCCGATTATCGGCTCTCCTCTCGAGCTGTCAGCGTGACAGCTCGAGAGGAGAGAAATGCTGATAAGCTGCATTTCCCTGTTTACATGTGATCAGCTGTGATTGGACACAGCTAATCACATGACCGAGCCGACATCTTCGGCTCTTTCCGTGATCGGTGATCTGCTGTGTCTAGGGGACACAGCGCACCGCCGATCGCCACGCGCTCCCTGAGCCGCGCATACGCGGTGAGAATGGGAGGACGTCATATGATGTCTTCCCAGAATGAGAGAACCACCTTGCGTCCGTCATATTACTATATGGCGGGCGGGAGGTGGTTAAACTTTAACAAACAATACATTATTATATTGTGTTTGTGCGCATTGCAATTCACTAAAGTATATTTTTTGAAAAAAAACCTTGCATTTGAAAAACTGCTACACAAATATTGTGTGATATAAAAATTTTCAAGAACTGACATTTTTTTTTTCTCCTGTGCCTTTGCTTTCAGAAAATATATGATATTTGGGGGTTCAAAGTAATTATCTAGTAAAAAAAAAAAAAAAAAAAGATGCTGATTTTTACATGTTTATGAGATGGGTCAAAATAGGCCTGGTAGTCAGTTGGTTCAGTTTACAAATATGGTGATGACCCCTGAAGGAGTTGTTGGATATAAACTGGGCCCCCTTACCTATTCAGATGCTGTCTGCCTTGTCTCCAGTCCCAGAAGCTCACAGATAAATTCAGTCTCAGTCTAGAGGTCTTTTTAGGATATGTTGCAGGTTTTAAGAAAAAGGCAGGGAGGAGGGACAGCTTCCTGTATGTCTTTGTTCTAGAAAACAGCCAGTAAACCTGAGACCCTATGAGAGCAGTCATGGTTCTAGAGCAGCAACCTCTGGCATACCACCCTCAAGAAGTACTTCCATACCTGGAGCTACAAGCAAAAAGGCTTCCCTCTCTAGCTGAGCTTCCACAGGCAAGTTTCCTTTTGGCCTTTAGCCCATAGCACATGTTGAGGCTTAAGTATTAGTACCTTCTCTGCAATACACACACACACATTTCCCTGGGGGGGGGGGGGGAATCCCCAGGGAATAGAAAGACTTATCAGATTCTGACAAATATTTATCTTCACCCCATCCACATCTTCTGGGTCATTAGATAGGGTGAGATAACTATTCAAAACTCTAGTGATTGACCCTCCCACACTATTGCTGGAACATTCTTCCAGGCAGCAGACAGAGTCAATCAACCATCAGGTTTAGTGAAAGCCTAAACAAATGTGAACATTTTTTTTTACGCTCAGCAGACTACATCAAGCTATATGCTAAATTCAGCCAGGGCAGGGTCGCCACACACAGTTTTGCTAGACCACACACCCTGTCTGGCAGGGCAGAAGACCTGAATTTTTCTCTGCTGCAGTTAAGTAATACTTACAGGTCTCCTCCCCACTCCAACCCTGTGTTCAAACAGTAAAATTAAAAACAGCAGATTGAGGAGCTCCAATGAGCTTTTCTCTCATTCACTCTATTTCTCTCCTACTATCCACATGCTCCATGCACTGCAGCACAAGCTACTGGATCCTGGGGCTATTTACCAATCTAAATTCTGCTATATTGCAAGAGACTGATGCCAAACTGCATGAATTTAAAAAATGCACTAAAGGATGTATAAATAATACAGAGATTCATTAATTTATGTCTTTTGCCTGGGTGAGCTTTTAGCCCTGTACTGTGAAACCTGGCTTAGTTTAATGTGTGTCAAACCAATTTAATGTGTTTTATGCTTAGCATCTTGTCACCACCAATAAAACCCATAAGATATGGTTGAAAATGTGAAAATAGTACAGGCAGCTGCAGTAAATGTACTCCACTGCATAAGTGCACAGTCTATAACATGCCAAACAGCTGAGTCGGCAAAGTGCTCAGTAACTCCTGCTTGTCCTCATAGTGTTCCAGCAATGCAGTAATACACACATGGAAAATACTGTACCTAATTTCTTTAAACAATTCAGCAATAAATCATGCTTGTTTTATATAATGTAAAACACAAATTGATGCCTAGTCTTTCATTTTTCATGTGCTGTGTAAAATTGAGATAAAATATGCTTGCTGGATTTGGTGTCATTATCTTATCAGGCTAACATGTTTCCTATAGAGAACACTTTAGCCCTGCAGTCGAGCTTTGACTGAGGCACATACACCATACTTCTTAATTTCTTTTCATTTTCACATTGTTAGCGGTGATCACGTTAGGCAAGCAGATTGCTTGATTTTCAGCATCATAGTAGAAGCACGCACACGGCTTCACATATACTAATCTCTTCTGCGAGAGTGTGACAAACCTTTATCATATAATTTCACTAGTTGTCTAACCACGTTAAAGCCTCCAAATTCAGAAAGCTGATCTGCCCCCAATGTCCCTATTTCCCTCGGATTTGTATCCTTGGCAACGCCTCCACCAGAATCCAAACTGATTGCAATGGAAAGCCTCATCTAAATTAGAAGAGATTTCATCTCTCCTCGAGCCACTGCATCAGTAATGAGATTGTAATTGATTAACCACAGCGAGAAGAATCTGATTTTTATAAAATTGGTCATTTGTCTCCGGAGCAATGTTGGACACCATCTTAGAAGAATCTTTTGGATATTTTAAAATGTCCTATGTACAAAATTCAGCCCCAGAGCACTAAATGATACAGTGTAGTAACATGTCATATGTAATTGTTAATACTATTTAATTATTTTTCATATTAACAGATTATTAAAGGGGCTGACTGACATTTCTTGTTAACTATACAATGCATCTTCTTTTTCCTTTGCCCTTAATAAAAATCCCAATACTCCAGCACATCAATAAGAGATTGAAAAATGTCCCTTATTCCCCTTTCAAATTTCTGCAGCAGTAACATGTCTATATGGGCTTATATGTTAGCACCCAAGGTGCTCTAAAGCTACAGTATAATTTATTAAATGACTGCAAAGCACAAAATGCAGGCTTTTTTACATGAGATCTGTCATTTATATTCTTAGAAATGCAGTTTAGGCTTTGGATACTTAGTCAAGTTCAATAAAATGAAGATTTTATAACACAAAATATCTTTCCTATCCATGTAATTAATTTTCTACAACAGATCTATTGCAAGTTAATGAAGGACACGAGTGAGTATTGTTAGAGTACAAAGGGATAACCACACATGTATCCAGTAAAATACAAGTATACACATAAAAAACACAAAAAAGTACAAATTGTATCAATATATCATAGCAACTCAACAGATCAGCTTTGAAAACTGTTGCTACTCAATTTGTAATCAGTTTCTCTAATCAGTCTATTTTGTATGTACATTCATTCTGTGCGAATTGGGCAAAAACGAATGCTCTTTTGGATATTTTTTGTCTTCCAAACATTCAAATGTTCTTTTATTATGGACAGACGTAAAATGCAACATTATGGCCACTAGATGGTGTTGAGGATCATTGGAAATACATACATCTTTGTAACAAGAGATACAATGTAACAAATCTAGAGAACACTAACCGGACATAGCAATTCAAATATAACTGAAGCAAAACTTTTTGCACCATTTACCATTATCATTGAAAGTGAAAATAAAAGAAAATCCAAAATGTTGGATTGTTCCCAGAAACGTAATAGAGAAATCTTCCAATGGGGGCACTAGCTATGTTAAACTGGGGGCCCCAAAGGTTTCCTTAATTTGCAGGGATTTCCACTCAATTCTACTTTTGGCTATGGGACTGGAAGTTAAGGAAAATCTCTCTAACGGGACACAGATGGCAAAAATAAAAACTAACAGAGATTATAACCCTTTCTTACTCTATCCAAAATTAAAAAATGTGTTGCCATTAGTTCTACTTTAAGTATAACCATTGGTTACATTTATTTGCTGATTCCCTCTAGTGTTCTCTAGAATTGTTAAATTTTAACTCTTATTACAAAAACATATGTACTTCCTATTCTCCTTATCTCCATCTAGTGGCCACAATGTGGTATTTTAATATTGCCCACAATAAAAGAACATTTGTTCAGAAGAGCAAACTTGATTTGTATTTGCCTAGTTCACACAAAATTAATGTACATGAAGATTGCATGGACACATGGCTATGTATTTTTATTTTATTATTATTATTATTATTATTATGCCCCTTACTGTAAGTACATTACACATTTTTCTCCACAATGTTATGAAATAATGTACTTCATTTGTATTCTGTGACAACAAGAAATGAAACAATTTCTAAGGGTTGATACACTAAAAGAATAAGGAATTTGTACTTTACTAAGTCAATCTTTACTTGGGTTAGTTGATAAGATAACACAAATGTAAATTTTAATCATCCAATCAGGTGCAAGCAAAATTCCTGCGTTTTTCATTGAACTTGTACATAATTGGTTACACAACACTGTATCACAGTACATTAAATGAACACACACTTTGCTAGCAAACATTATCTGCCTATTTAATAACACCAAGCTATGCACTAACCCACAGGAACCAACAGAATCTAGCTTAGTGTATTCACATTAGGGGAAGATGAATTCCTATTAGTTTCTATGGATTATTGCATTTTGCTTTTCTTCCTTATTAGCTTCATTAGCTTTATGCATACAAAATAAGTGCTGCAATGTTCCATCTGTAGAAACATATGATTTATTGTTTACTTTACAAAGAAAATGATAAAATTATGTAAGACTAATATACCTTTTTATGCCTTCAAGTGCTAAAGCAATTGAGCCACCAACGTTGATTTGTTTAATGAGACATAGCATATATTTAATTAAACGTGTCACTAACATCTTTGACAAGTTGCTTGGATCAATACTAACCCATAGATGCCATAAGAAACAAGTCAGCTATGCTAAACTGAGGCGATCCTTCTGTATGGTCAAGAGCTCTAAACTGGATTATATTCGGACAAACAAAACCAAGAATTAATAAGAATCAATAATTAACTGAGGTTTGTCTAGATATAATTATTATTATTATTATTATTATACAGGATTTATATAGCGACAACAGTTTGCTCAGTGCTTTACAATATAACAGGAGACAATACAGCAACAATTCAGTTCAATACAAGAGGGATAGGAGGGCCCTGCTCCTTGGAGCTTACAATATAGGAGGGAGGGGCTAGTGGTACAAAAGGTAGTAACTGTGGGGGATGTACTGGTTGGAA